AGAGGGGTCAACCAAGATCATCCGAACTTGGACTCTAAAGTGATATGCCAAGCCATCATGCCCATGGTAAAAGCAAGCTCTCATATATCTGTTGCAGTGTTGATTTCAGCTATACAATCGCAGTATGGGTACACCGTCTCCTATAAAAAGCTTGGTTAACAAAACAAAATGCCATTGTCAAACTTCATGGCGAATGGGATGCATCTTACAATGAACTTCCAGGTTGGTTTAGGTTGGTGGAGACGTTGAATCCTGGGATAATTGTGGACTTCGAAACCTCCTATGCATACCATAATGATCGAGTTCTTCGCGATCGATGCAAATTCTACCGGGTTTTTTGGAGTTACCCACAGTGCGTTAATGCTGCCAAATACTGCAAGCATGTGGTCCAGATCAACGGGACTTTCTTGTATGGAAAATACAAGCAAGTTTTATTATTGGCAGTTGTCCAAGATGGCAATCGCAACATTCTTCCAGTTGCTTTTGCTCTTGTCGAAGGAGAAGATACAGATTCTTGGGCTTTTTTTCTCCGAAATTTACATGCACATGTTATCACGAGGGAAAAAATTTGTGTCATTTCAGATCGTGGAGCTGGGACCAAAGCAGCAATGGAGTCTTTGGGTCCAATGTGGCAACCACCCTTTGTCCAACATAGGTATTGTCTCCGACACATTGCTGCGAACTATCATGGAAGGTACAAGAAGAATGATGAGCGTCAATTAATTGTGCGCATGTGTAAGTGAAAGCAAGTTAGTAAGTTATATTTTTTGATTCCTCGAACGTTTGAATCAATGCTTCAAGATTTGCGGGCGAAGAACGAGGAAGGATACGATTACATCAGCCTAATCGATAAAGAAATGTGGACGAACGCATATGATGGTGGTTATCGGTATAGACACATGACGACCAACTTGGTTGAGGCAATCAATTCAACCTTAAAGGGTGCACGTCACTTACCTGTAGCGGCTTTGATAAAAACTATATATTTTCGTTTGGGGGCGCTTTTTGCGAAGCTCGGGGGACAAGCTCAAACTTGGATGCAAGGCAGTCATGTCTATCACCCTAGATTAGTTGCAGACCTACAGAAAAAAATTGATGTATCAAATGGAATGACTGTAACAAGCTTCTCTAGAAGGCATGAAATGTTTCGTGTCACAGAGTTTTCCCGACCTCTTCATGGGATTGAAGCTGTGTCGTTAAGAGTAAATCTAAGGGACAGAGCGTGCCACTGCGGGCTTTTTCAAGATCTGAAGTATTCATGCTCTCATGTGATAGCAACTTGCTCGCATACACGTCAAGACTATAACCATTTTGTGGATCCCGTATACCTACTATCTGAAGTTTTTAAGGTATACGAATTTAAGTTTTCCCCCATAGATAATGACAAAGACCCTTATGAGGTTCAAGATTGGCTTTCGATTGTACCAAATCTAAGTTTATTGAGGGAGCGTGTCGTTCAAAATCCAATCGAATTCATTGCGATATGGATATTCGAGAAATATCTAGACAAGACAGAAGATGTGGCCATTGTAGAAACCCAAGACACACTAGAAAAACATGTCCACTTCTGTTGTCATCAAGTAACAATTGATGAGGAAATGATGTATTTGTTTATCAAATAATAATTAATTTGCATTTACTTCAAGTTAATGTCATTCGATAATCGCTGATGAAGATTAAAAAAATGAACACAATTATTAAATTTTATCAAACTAATAACAATTTGATATTTAAATACAACAAACTTACAATAAGAATTAAATGGTAAATGATAACCAAATTACAATAACTGATATTAAATGGTAATAAACAAAATTAACTAAAATATATTAAAAAAGTGCAACAAATTTAACAAAATAAAGTAAGTATTAAATGAGAAATAATAAAAAATTACAATTAAACAAAATAAAGTAAATACAAATACAATAAAAAAAAATCTATCGATTCATGCGTCGCGATTGTGTTCCGCATGGCGGTGGCTGTCGGTCTCGAGGAGGATTTCTTCGTATCACTGGTTCTGACTCCTTGCTATCATCGTAGTTGTCGTCGTCGTCGTCATCCTGAGCAGGTACATTAGGTTGACGAGGAGCTGATGACGATGAAGCACCTCCATAGAATAAGGACCCTGGAGGTGTATAACTGACTATCCCACCGGCCTGCGAAAACTGGGAAAACCCAGACATCGCTGAGTGTGAAAACTGTACATGAGGTGTCTGTGCTGCGGCCATGGGTGATGAGGATGAACCCACCAAATATCCAGCATATAAACCCCAAGTTGGATCTACAAATATAGACCCGTAATAGCCTCCAGGAGGGGTCATTTATGACGGTGGCGGGGTCATAAAACCAGGAGAAGGCGGCGACGGCGTCATCTGGTAATGAAAAGGCGATGGGAATCTGTATATGTCTTGCCACGTCTATCTAAGCTACGCAACTCGTCCATATTGCGAGGTGCTTTCGGAATTGGTTGAAAACAACCAAACTGCCAGAGCACGCGATCAGTGGAGTGCCACTCGACAGTCGCATAACAGATCAGAGGGACCATCGCCATCCAAAAATCTTATGGACCCCTCAACTCAGGTGGGATCACTGCCCTCACATCATCAGTAGAATATGGAACCCATTCAAACTAAAACAAATAATATATAATTTTTATCAAAATAATAATCTAATTATATAACTGTAATCTAAAATCAATTTTTAAATATTAAAATTCATACTTGTGTGCCAGCCTTCTGATCGATTAGCACCCGAATTTTTTCTAAATCATCAGGTAGCTCCTGATGATTTTTCCTATCAGTAGACCACCTATTCAAGGAAAACAAATTGTTATACGCTGTATAAAATTATTAATATACAAAATCAGTTTTATAATTACCTCAGAAGTAGTGGAAATACGATTGGGTTCTTCACAACGGGACATAAAAAGGGTAATCGATACCATGCCCAAGACTGCAGCAGCAGGAGACATCCGCCGATAGTATTACGCCTGTAGTCAATGGCTCCACACATCTCCCTGTACAGCAAAGCCAAAACTGCCGAGCCCCAACTGAATGATCCGGCGAGACGAAAGTCGCTAAGATGTCGCAACCACATGCAGTGAACTAGGTTGTGCGATTTGTCCGGCATCAGCAACCCTCCTATCAGCTGCAGTATGCATGCCCGTGCATACATCTTAACCTCATCCTCAGAGGCGTCTGTGCTCAACTCCCGAAAATTTGCATCTAACCAATTTAACGGTATGCTACCTCCGATAAAATTTTTCGGGACACGTCCTAGACTAACCTGACACAAAGTAGTCCAAAAACCGGAAGCTATCCCCGATATCACATCTCCATCCATCGAAAGCCCCAGGTGCATAGAAACATCCTCAAGCGTGATCGTGCACTCTCCGCACGGAAGATGGAATGTGTGTGTCTCCGGCCTCCACCGCTCTACTAAGGCAGAAATCAGGTCTGGCTCTATCTTACAGTGACCCTGATATCTACTTATGTAACCGAATCCAGCCTCTACTAAATACGGCAAGACACGGCTAGGTATCACTAACTTAAGATTCCTAATAAAAGGATCTAATACACGGTCATTCTCCTAAAAATAAATAATTACAAAAATTAATTCTTAATCTAATAATAATGCATTAAATAAATCAAATAATTATTACTAATAATTTAAATTAAATTAAAACGTTAAAATGTTACCGTATCAGCAAAGTGTCGAGATATTTAATTCTTAATCTAATAATCATGCATTAAATAAATCAACTAAATATTACTAATAATTTAAATTAAATTAAACGTTAAAATGTTACCGTATCAGCAAAGTGTAGAGATGTATGATTTCCATCCGAGCGAAGTAGATTGTCTTCCATTATATATCTGCAAAAGAATTATATTAGTAAAATATTAAATAAAGTAAATACATAATAGTCAAAAATATTATAAAATATACCTTAAAAAGATAGAATATTTGAGAAAAATTTAGAGAATTTGAGAGAATTTGGTGTGATAAAAGTGATTGAGGATGGAGTATTTATAGGGAGGATTGGGACGTCAAGGGCCGGGTATTTAGGGGTATAGCGCTCCCCCTGTACCGCGTTATACCCCACGTGTCAGATACCCAAGTATAGCGCGGATCAGGGGGCGCGTTATACCTACGTGGTGCCAGATCACCGTATATCGCGGGGCAGAGGGCGCGTTTTACTGCTACGGGTGTTAGATCGAAAAATATAATCTGACCGATGTTAGATCGATAAATATACCGATCACCGATGATTTTTCGAGAAAATTACTCGGATTCCACAATGGGAAGCTTCTTTCTTCTTCTTTTCTTCTTTTGTTTGATTGCAAATCTAAAAGAGAAGATTTATGTTGAAATAAAATTAGATTTAAAATGCAGAAAATCGTGTATTTTTATTATAAATACTCAATATTTTTTAATTGAGTTAATATGTCGATAGGTCAACTCAATCGGGTCTAATATTTTCAAACAACATTATTGACATAATATGTGACATCGTTCAATTGAAAGATTAAATTTATTTTAATTTATTAAAAATATAATTAAATTAAAAAATATAAATAATTGAGATAAAATATATAATTATATCAAAAATATCTAATTGTTTTTAACCGCAGTTAACTCGACAACACTCTTAAGAGGTAGATCGAGGTGCCCCACGCCTCCACGTCTCATTAGAATATCTTACTTAGCAACACGTGGCACTCACATACACGTACAGCAAACCTCCACCACTAATAAAAAAACTGCATTAAAAGAAAATTGGAATTTTATAATTCCATTTCCTAGAGTATTTTATTATTTATATAATTTAAAAATATATAATAAAAATATACAAATTAAAATTTTAAAGTAATAGGCCTCTAAAAAAAGGAAAAAATAAATACAATTGGGGACGGGTTAAATTAATTAGGTCATTTACACTTTTTTGAGTTGTGTTGCGCGGGCACACCTATTTAAGCAACGAGGGGGTGGTTGCCTTGTTGGTTAAGTCATTCATATCGAAGGCTTTGTAACGCTTAACAGTTTCTCTCCGGGCTCTTTCTTTTTTCTTATTTCCTTTTTCTCAGTGTCCAATTAAAGAAAATGAATTATTTGGGTGTTGGGATCAGTCCCGGTAATGTCGTTTACCACGGCACCGATTTGAAGGTAATCGACAGAAGAGTGAGAGTTGCAGAGCTGGTCCTAAGGTGTTTGATATGTGGCTTTAGCCTTCTCGCAGCTCTTCTTATCGGAACCGATTCTCAAGTCAAAGAAATCTTCACCATTCGAAAGAAAGCTAGGTTTACAGACATGAAAGCTCTTGTGTAAGAAACTCTCTATATCCCTCCCAGGGAAAAAAACCCAACATTCTCATGTTTTTTTTAACTTGATTTGTTTTTTTCATCGGCTTTGATAGGTTTTTGGCGGCGGCTAATGGGGTATCTGCAGCTTATTCGTTCATACAAGTGATTCGTTGTGTTGTGGGTATGGTGAGAGGGAGTGTGCTTGTGCATAAGCCTTTGGCTTGGGCCATTTTCACTGGAGATCAGGTACCTTATTTCTCCCTTTGGCTGAATTGCTTTGCTTGCTTAATTGGTGGGGGAAACAATGTTGAAGTGAGCAATTTTAAGAGCACTAACCAAATCGGGTGAAATAAATTGAAGGTCTTTAGTATTTAATGTCGAAATTAATGTGTTGGTGAGGGTTGTTGATATTTCCTGTCAAGCCTTCATGTTTTAGGTAAATTACACCATAGCTCATTGAATTATGCTCAAATAATCGTTTTCATCACTGAACTTTTAAAAGATATAAAATGGTCACTTATAACATTTCCATAAAATTCAATGACCATTAGTGACATTTGAAAGTTCAATTTGAGCATAGTTTAGTGAATTTTGGTGTAGTTTAACTTATATTAAGTGATGGTGTTGAAAATAAAAAATCTCTCCGTCTCGTTTGGTATCAATAATAAGAGAATTCAAGGTGAAGTGAAGGTTGTCTTTTTGGGTGCCGCTGTTGATAAGGGTAAAATTTCGAGGATGCATTGGTTCTTCAGCGACACCTAAAACAACATGCTCAATAAACATGTGTCAGTCCTTTGGCCCATTCGGACCTTCAAACAGAAGTTCAAAGTAACACATATTATGTGTATTTTGCAATGTAAATGCAGGCCATGGCGTACCTGGACGTGGCAGCTGTTGGAGCTGCCGTGCAGTCGGCGGTGTTTGCAAAGTTGGGGCAAACAGAGCTTCAATGGATGAAGATATGCAACATGTACGGAAAGTTCTGCAACCAAGTTGGGGAAGGAATAGCAATGGCTTTACTAGTTAGTGTGTGCGCAGTGGTCCTGTCTTGTACCTCTGCTTTCTCTCTATTTAGGTTATTTGGTAAAAACAAAGCCAAAGGCAGCTCTGGGTGGTAGATTTTAGGCCAAAACTACTTTGTTTCACAGGTTTAGTAGTTAGTCCTGTGGGTTGTTTAATTTCATCTTTGTCATATATGTAATAATAGCAACAACTGCGGTGCAAGCTAGGTGAAACACTTGCAAGCGATGATTGATCAGTGGAGTGTGTAATGTATAGCTCATCATCTATATATATGTAGGAATTATGGGCTTTTTACTTGGATGAATTTAATTAATGCATTATTATTGAGCAAAGGAGTTCAATTCAGCTCGGTTAAGCTGATACAAATAGATTAAAAATTAATGATTTCAAATGCTACATGAAGCCAGAGCAGTCTCGGAGATTTTCGGAACCGGAACGACTCGGCTCATAGAATGAAAATATCATTAATTTAAATAATTAATTTAATATTTTATTAATAAATTATAAAAATAATTAAATTTTATTAAATATATAATTTTCATTAATTTATTAAAAAATACAACTGAAATAATAAATTTATAAGGGTCATTCATTGACTTACAAGTTTGTCAATTGAAAAATCTCATCTTCCAAACATTCTTTGAAGCAAACTCATTAATCAAATCTTCATAAGCAACTGAGCTAGTCCATTAAGTCTTTCTTGTGACATAGAACTACACAAGTAAGATTTGAGCAATTTTAACTTCGAAAAACTTCTTTAGATCGTTGCAACTATCACATGAATGGTTAATAATATTCTATATGCAATAATTGCATTAAGAAAACAATCAACAAACTTCAAAAACTTTAAAATATTAAAAGTTTAAGTTTTCTTTGAGCAAAAATTTTCGAAGTAATTTATCACCATTCTTAAGCGCATCTTCCAAACAACAATAATAAGATATTAAACTTTGATCATCTAGTTATGGGAAATTGGAATTCAATAAATGAGAGGAAAAAAATCTAATTATGAGAAACTGGAATTCAATGAGAAAAAATTTAATTATGGGAAACTAAAAATATTTAATTATTTTACCGTTAAAACTTTGAGTTGCGTTATAAGTTAATGAGATTTTGAATATAGTTATGGGAAATTGGAATTCAATAAAGGAGAAAAAAATCTAATTATGTGAATTAAAAATATTTAATTGTTTTACCTTTAAAACTTTGAGTTGTGTGATAAGTTAATGAGATTTTGAAAATTAAAAATTGAATTGAAGAAATACTCACTAACCGTAAAAATTAAAAATGGGACCTATCAGTTAAATATGAATTTATAATATATATATATATATATATTGCGTGTACAATTCTAAATTTTGGACTTTTAGCAGTGAAACTAAATGTGAGACCCCTGATAATATCACAATTATTCTTAAGAACTAATATTTATATAGAATGTGGCCCTCGTTCAGCAATGAAGCTTAACATGAAGCTTCCCTCAAAAGCCGGCTCTACATGAAGCTTAACATGAAATGTGCAAAATATACACATATATTCTCGCAGTGGAAATGCTTTATGCTATAAATATTGACGCGAAAATTACCAATAGTACATTTCATTGACACCTGATTGTAGGCAGGAGTAGCCCACAACAACCAGAACGTATCTGCACCAAGGATTTAACTTGACAAATATCATCCCTTAATTATTAATGAGCTTAAAGCATTGATGCCATTTAACACCTGAATGAAAGGTGACAAACATACGAAACAAACAAAACAAATGCTTAGCTGGGGATACCATACCAAGATATGAACAAAGGTTCATGATGATGATGATATTTGCTTTCATCTGATCTGCTATTGGTCCGAGCCATGGAGCTTCCACTATAAAGGACCTGAACTTTCAGATAGCATCTTGCAATGAGAACTAAATCCAAGCTCATTGAATGATTGCCGTTTTTTGACAGATAAGACAAGGCTTCGTTATGCAGTGAGTCGTATTGGATCTCATCAAATTTCTGCAAGATGTTTATTAAAGCACCTGTTCCTCATGTCATGTAGGCATCTCTACTAGTATGACTACTCATAATGGATATGAACGACATTTATAATTTTAAGACTGTGGTGTCAATCAGGGATTTAAATCTTCGAGGAACAAGTCATCTGGACTACCAGGAGTTGTTGGTTCGCGAGAAGTGAATTCCTGAAATGTTGTTCACGATGTTATTACTGGTAAAAGCACCGAAATCACATCAATGACCTTCTATGTTGAAGCAATAGTATTCGTGTCTTTATTTAATTACGTAACAAAGAATCAGAAGGTTCATCACCGTCATATCCGGGTGACCTGGTAAAACTTCCGTGCTGCGCCCTGGAAGAATACTTTTCAGCCTTCACCTGTTTTCAACCATATCTTAATAGCAGGATGATAATGGATTCTATTTACCACTATACTATGAAAGATCTTCTTACTTTGTCACCGATAGGTATTGGCCGGTAAATTTTCATACCATACAGGAAGGATGCTAAGCTAGCTGATACTACCAAATTCATTGCATTCACTTGCACAGAGGAGGATTAAGACTTTTATTTGAAACAAGTAGCAGAAATACATCATTATAAACAACACGTTATCTATGAGACTGTGCCATTCTCAAATGAAGCTAAGACATAAATAGGCTCAATTGTCGATTATAGCATCATTTGTTTTAAACATTGGTCTATATAATTTGGTACTTAATAATGCTTCTAAAGAAGCATCTGTTTGTGTGGGCAAGATCCTGGGCAAGGCATTGGAGTTGGCCCGTGAGAGATGTGACCTGCCTTTTGGAGAGTAGGGACTAGTTGTTTAGCTCCGAACCTTGCTTTTCAACAAGGTCTTGAAGCTGAGAATTCAAGACACCCGGAAATAGTATTGCATTCTTCAATGATTTTATCTCTTCTCTCTGTTTCAAGCACAAATCTTTCAGCTTCTCCACCTGCAAATACCTTCTTTATTAATAGCTATGGCATCCATAAACAATTGCTCATTCTCTAAGAATTTAAACAGATACTTTTTTTTTCGCGTGTAGCAGTGGTAGCTATAATTAACACAAATTCATAAATATTTAACAATGAAATGGCCCCGCCCTATATATTCTCCAAGGCAGATCGGTAAAAAACAAATAGAACGCAATTTGCTATCCATGTGAAATTCATAAATATTTAACAATTGATAACAAAACAATGCCTAAACCCGAAAGGTTTTAAAATTTGAATGCTATGAGCGCAATGCCTAGATCACCGTCCAAAATCAAAATGGATAAGAAAACGTGGAAGCCGGGCCTGGGCTCTAGGACTTAGTGGGCTAATCTTTCAATGACAAGACTACCCAATTCAATTTAAATTTTATTAAATATTAAGACAATTCGAAGGTCACAATAAAAACATCTAGGGCTTGGATTTTGAATTCTAGTTGAGGGAAAATTTGGGAAAATGGTGGATTTTTCCTTTGTTAATGAACCAGATCCTTCTGTTTTATCCATTATTAAGCAATACTACACTCAGACAAACGGAAACAATGGCGGAAACTACTGCGACTATGATATATTTTGTCTCCATTCCAAAGCCTCGACACTCCGATCAATTCAAGGCAGGACGGCGAATTGCTCCATTCACGATGGGGTTCTCGACTCTTTGATCCTCATCGATGAACTGGACCGTCGGCGAGGTGTTCCCCCTTCTGATGCCATGCGGGAAGCCTTTTGCGCCGTTGCTGTACACCTTACGCTCTGGTGGTTACCCGTCTCGTGGGACGACTATCACGATGCGGTACGGAGGATTTGGGGAAAGAAAATTGGGAATTTAGAGATGTCTGATGCCTCTGGCCTTCTTTCTACTGGTTTAGGTAAATGGAGGAAGGAGATCGAAGAGGCACTATGGGATCGAGAGACCACTAGGAGGCTGTTAGGTATTAATACTCTTGATGAAGCGCTGCGCCTAATTCGAGTTTATTTAAAGGAGGCCTGCCGTCGATTTCCAGGGGATCCCACTGTTGCTGATGACGTTGCCTATGTTCCTGCTTCTGCTGCTACTGAAGGGAACGGTAGGCTCCTCTTCTCTTCTTTTGATTTTTTTATTAAGTCTTAATATTTTTTATTATGCTATGTCGTATATCTTCAATTTGCATTATAATATGTTGTTCTAAGATGTAGAGTGAATCTTAGCTCAATTCGCTGTGTTAATTTGCCTCCGATAATGTTGTATCTGCTTCAGCTCAAGACTCTTTGAGTTGAGTCCTAATCGAGGAAGTGAGCAGTAGGCTTCTCTTCTCTTTTTTTCTTGTTTTATTTCAAGTTTTATTTTATTTTTCTAAGGAACTATGACATGCTCAGCAGGATTTAATTTGCACTACATTATGTTGGTATAAGAATGCATGTAGAATGAATTGAGTTAGATTCTAAGAATGCATGTGGAATGAATCTAACTCAATGTCTGCTTATTTCAAGTTTTGTTTCAAGTTTTAATTATTTTTCATATTATTTCTATTAAAAAAGAAGAGAAGAGTACCCTACCATTCTCTTGGTCAGTGTTACAATGAGGATTCAAGGGGCTTGAGCAAAAGTAGTTACAACTGACATTAGCCACCGTGGAAGGAAAATTTTACAGAGACAATTGAGTTAGATTCATTCCACATTCATTCTTAGAACAAGTGAACAATATATTATACCACAAATAAACCATACAAGGCATAGTATAATAAAACAAAATTAAGACTGTTACTTGGATTAAAATGAAAAAAAAAACTGAGAAGACAAGAGTAGCTTACTACTGTTCTCTTTCTCAGTGCAATGATAACTCAATGGGACTTGATAAAATGTGAGGAAAATTTTACAAGAGTCCTCGTCATAGCACTGACAAAGGGAATGATACGTTTCTCTTCTTTTCTTTTTTTCATTAAAAGTCATAATTTTGTTTTCGCGACATTATGCTATACTATGTGTGATTAATTTGCAGAACAATATGCCGGTCTAAGAATGCATTTAGAATGAATCTAAAACAATTCTGTGTAAATTTTGCTGCTCATAGTGGATAGTGTTTACTCTGTTTCTGCTCGCATTCTTTCAAGTCCTGTCACAAGAAGAAAAGGAACATGAAGCTTCTCTACTCTTCTTTTGTATATTCGAATTAAAAAATCTTAATTTTGTTTTCAGGAGATTATCTCATGATGTGCATGAATACTTTGCTGTATAATATGTTGGGTCTAAGAATGTGTGTAAATGAATCTGTATAAATGATTCCTCTTGATGTTGTACATACCCAGTTAACTATAGTGATGGTATTATTGGTCTTTTTGGATCTAGTTTCCTCGGTCATGCGGAGAATCTGAAAGCAAATTTCCAAACAAGATTGTTTTACTCTAGTGACTTTAGTTATGGTAATATTGGTCATGATTTGTTCCGATTACCTTGTTCTGCAGAGATTTTGAGGGCAAATTCTCACACGAAACATAAGCTGCATTCTTCCCGCGTGCAACATAAAATTGCTGGCTTACAGGAGGACCAGCCTTCTTGCACAAAAAATGACTCTCAATCTGATTCTGATTTTAATGGACTGCAGAAAGTTCCATTTAAAGCTATGACTGGTGCGCTGGTAGATGAAGTAAATGATTCCCTCTCTGAAGCATTGGATGATGTTGAAATGGTTGCCTCTGGCACGAAAAATGAAACATCACATGTTGAAGGCATTGAAGAAGACTCCGATAAGGACATTGGTGATCCTGCTAATTGTTGCACTGACAAAGGAAAACGTAGATTTATCTTCTCTTTTTGTTCTCTAGTAAAAAACTTCATTTTTTTCTTAAGATTTTGTAATGGTATGTATAATTAAGTTTTTGTGCAAAAGCTTCTATTTTGTTGGTTTAAGAATGTATGTCTGAATGAGTTGTCTCATTACGCTTCTTACATTTTACCTCATATTGTTATTACTTAATTTAGATTTGGTAATCTTTGTCATACTGGGCCTTTGTTTTTTCTGACTAGCTGGTTTGTTCTTTAGGAATTTTGGCAGTGAATTCTCGAACAAGATGTGACCCTAGTTCTTCACGTGGGCACTGTGAACGACCTGCTGTCATTGTTGATAGAGAGGACCGGCCATCCTGCAGGAAATATGTCTCCTTATCGAGCGCTGAAATTGACAAAGCACGAGACTCACTTAAGTCAAGTATTGTTGACTTAGTAGCGAATGTAGACGATCCTCTCCCTAAGGCCTTGGAAATTGCTGAAAGAATTGTATCATATGTGGCAGAAGCAAAAAAATTGCATCCTGAAGGCGATGAAAATAAGGAACAGGGGGCACCTGATGAGGCCATCAGAAAAGACTATGACAGGATGGATGGGAATGTTCCTACTCCATTTGCTGATCATATTGCAGAACCCTCTCAAGCTAAAGAGGGAAATGAAGCTTTTACTAGGCCCAAGAAAGTACTAAGGACCGGCTTAATGGAGAGGAATAACACTGCTCGCTGTTTTGAGGTGTGTGTGCATATATTTATATTTAGTATCATTATTGGCATTACATTGCACGTTTAGTTGTTATAACTATTACTTTTCATTGCATTGCATGCTCTAAATCATAATCGTAATCTCCTGCTATGTTTTCTTTTTATATATATATATATATCCTAACTGTCATTTCTATTTATGCCCTGTCTGACTTGGCATTGTTTTGCGAAATCTTGGGATGAGCTTTTATGGTCATTTGATTTCCTATTTATTATTTTAATCATACTATGTTTTGTATTTTCATCTGTCTTAACTCTTATGTTTTGAGTGTTATTGTAGTGGGAGGATTCAATTGATGACACTTCCGAAGAGACAAATAGTTGTCTGAACAGTTATACTTTACCAAGCCCCAGAACAAAGCATGTGTCTCCTCTAAACATAGACAAACCCAAAAGGTGGGGGAGGATGAGAAAAATTAATAGATGGACCGACGAGGAAGAAAAGACTTTGACAGAGGGTGTACAAAAGTAAGTGGTTAACTTATATATGGGGTTTTGCATTAAACTTTTGAGTGTATACTCCTGTTAGCATATTAAACTTGCTCTAGCTTTTTGCTTTAGTAGCTGTTACTACTTGTTTAGCCAATTTGAGATGAGATATTTCTGGTAGTTCTATAACCCTTGCTTTCCCACTGCGATTATTTTCATAATGCAGGTATGGAAACCAATGGGCACGAATATTGGAAACCTATCAGGAAATATTTAAAGATAGAACTGCGGTAAGTATTTCACAAACTTCATCTGCCTTGTCAACTTTTTCTTTTTGATGTATAATTTATAATATTTGTTCTTTGTTATATATCAGGTTGATCTCAAAGATAAATGGAGAAACTTGCTCAGAAAATGACGTTTGGTATCATAATTCGTTTTGTTCCTTTTTGGTGAACTGTAATGGTCCTATAACAATTGTATAATATGCTCACCGTTGGTACTAGACTAGACTAGAATTAGTTTAAGCTGTAAAATGGTCTTTTGGGTTTTTGGTTATATAAAATGGACTGCTACTTAACGAAGCTCAAGAGTTGACCGCGTCCAATAGTGGGATAAAAGTTAAGTATGTTAATCGAGAGGCAAACAAAGTGGCGCAGAATCTTGTCCACTGGGTTCTGTTGAACACTAATACGTTTAAGTTTTATTGTAACGAGCCTGATTATATTAAAGCTGATGTAATTAACGATGATATCTAAATAAGCGGTTGTGTCTAACTGAAAATATTATGTTTTTTTCATAATATTTTCGGTTGTGTTTATTCTCCATCATTTCTTAGCCTTAAATTAGACTACCGTAGAACTACCTAACAACTTTAGCCTTTATGAGACACAACAATGGGATGGGATAGTGATGATGATTTACGTGACAATGTTTTGGTGAAAATAAATACCAAGTACAGAGTAATAGGCTAATGGCTTAAGTTTAGTTTTTGTAGTAAAGTGACCATTAAGAATGGGTTTGTTGAGGCTGATGACATTGAAAAAGTGGTCCCAATGTGATAGCACCTAACACCATCATGGTAATTGTCAATTTAGTTGGTTGGGTTTTTGTAGGTAACTAATCTGGTCAGTTTTCGATTATAATCAAACTGACCAACTCGAATGTGTTAGTTAAGTCTGTTTCAACTTTTGCTCACTTCTATGGATTCTTAATTTTAGTGGTTTATTCATTTTGACTCTCCAAACCCTGTTCTAAGCTATACCCGTCATTTTCCAAAAAGCAACTGTGGAAGAATTAAATCCCCTTAACATCGACATTGCCAACACCTATACATATAGCTATGATTAATTATTCCTTCCATTTATTGATCTAAATATTTTATTGCCTTGCTTCGTTCTCCCTAAGTTTTCATTTATTTATTTTTCTCATGCACCGACAGAAACCACCCGCTCCTTCTAATTGTTGCTTAATTGTTAATTTTTTAATTTTTTTTTTATAAATGAGTTGAGTGTTCGTGTACAAAAATTAGTTAGGTTCTTGTTAATGCATGCTGTCGTCAGATGAGTATAATATGATGTAGGTCGCAACTTTAAATTTTCAAGCTCAAATGTGTAGTAGCGGATGAAAAGCATGCCCAGGGTAGACAATCTTTGTATTAGTTGTCCATTTTACAATAGATGTCTACTTTGAAATTTTAATTACGCCCATTGTACAGGAAAAATTTCAATAATTAATGTGTGTTCATTTTTAAAAATATTTTGAATCTGCCACTCAAATATAAATATATTGTAATCACATGCATGCAACTAAAGATCTTTATCTTTTTCTCGAATGGTATCATTGTTTCCTTGAAATGTTTACATGGTGATGTGTTGTCTAAATATTAAGAATTTTCTCTCGATGGTATCATTGTTTCCTTGAAATGTTTACATGGTGATGTGTTGTCTAAATATTAAGAAATTAAATTTGGATAAAGTACACCAATAGTGCTTAAACTATGCTGAAATAGTTATTTCGATCTATGAAATTTCAAATATTATAGAATGATGCATATGATTACAAATTGATTATTAAAATCTGATCTTCAATTTATCAAAATTTATTAATATTGTGAATATAATATGTTGAAATTATTTATAACAGTGATCAATTTATGATTATTTATAAATATTTAAAATTTATTGATAAAATAGAACATTTTGATATAGTTCGGTAACTTATTATATACTTTATCATGATACATTTATTTATTTATTTTTTTAAATAATCTCCACTTAGTTTTGTTCTAAATACAAGTAATAGAGTTTGAAGTTGAGATGTTTTAGACTTTTAGTCCATACTAATTTTGAAAATATTATCCACTTTGGCTCAATGAATTCATAACTATTGATAAATGTACATTTCAATATCAATTCTAACAATATGACTAGAGTGAGATTCGTGATTTTTTTTTCAAATATCAAACATAAAAGTCAGGATTAAATCGAGACATGTCTAAAATCGAATTGAATTAAACTATATCTTTTTATGTAAATGTAGATGCCACTTAGTTTCAGGGTTTTTTTTCTCTAATAGGGCAAATTGTTTTATTAATTAGTCTAATATGATATATTGAAGTTTATTTTGGGATATACGATATTTTTTACAATATTCAAGCAACTTGTCATTAAGGTGACGAATTTATCAAAATAATATTTTTATTCAAACTCGTCATGTCGAGATGATAAATTTCAATAAAATATAATTTTTTACAATATTCAAGAAACTTGTCACATTAAGGTGACGAATTTATCAAAAAATATTTTTTATTTGGTGCTGATTAGGTATTGATGTTGCTAGGTTGTCTGGTAGTTTGTCTAGTTTAGCCATTGACGTCGTCCTCTTGGCGTTTGGAGACTGGCCGGGGGAGGAGGAGCCCGGAGGTTAACCTTTTTTTTTCTTGGTGCAATTATTGTGTAATTTATTCCCACCTCTCACTTCTGTATATTAGGGTTAATCCCACCAAGTTTATATTTGCCCCCAACTTTTGGACCGTTCTAACAAAATGTCACAGTCTTCAAAGCATCTGTCAAAATAATTATTAACGAGGAGCATATTTTAAATACATGAAAATCGATTGCATTTGAAAAGATTCTTTAATGATTGATTTTCCTGTTAATAAATTCCTCCATATATTTAAACAAAAAAGCTCTTACTAGAGGTGTTCAAATAATCGAACTAATTCGGTTAATCGATCGAATTGAATTAATTCGGTTAATTCGGTTCGGTTATCGAATTAGTTCGGTCGATTAACGGTTAAGAAAATTTTTAGAATTCGATTAACGGTTATTCAATTCGAATTTGGTTAATTACCGAATTAACCGAAATTAAATTTTAAATATTAAATATATATATAACATATGGGCTCAACCAAATCATTTAAAACCTAATTAATAATTTAAGATCCAATAACTTTTAAACTTAAATCAATATTAATTAATTAAAAAATTATATAAATTTTTTTATTTTATAATTATATTATTTAAATTAATTGTAAACTGTTTTTTAATTAAAAAATATTAAATATATATATAAAATATGGGCTAAACCCAAACCATTTAAAACCCAATTAATATTTAAGATCCAATAACTTTTAAACTTAAATCAATATTAATTAAAAAAATTATCTAAAATTTTTATTTTATAATTATATATTATTTAAATTAATTAAACTTTTTTGAATTAAAAAATATTTAATTTTTATATAAATTAGAAAATTTAAAAAAAAATCGGTTAATTCGAAATTAATCGAATTAACTGAAATTTATTCAGTTCGGTTAATATGTTCGAAAAAAAATTCGGTTCGATTAACGGTTAAAGAAAAAAAAGTTTGGTTAATTCAGTTATAGTTAATTCGGTTCGGTCGACCACCGTTTTAACCGAATGAACACCCCTAGCTCTGACAAATTGAAAACTTCATTTTATTTTTTAAACAAAGACATTTTACAAAGCACCGTGACCGCCACCGAACTTTCTGACCATTTGACATTATAAACTCTTAAAACAAAAACAAAATAAATAAAATCCACAAATGCCTCCATCTTCAACAAAGTAACACGAGAGATTATATTAACTATATCATCAAATTCAACTATATGCACAACTCGGCAGCACGTTCTTCCTTACATGATTGAGCATCCTTGTGCCTTTTCATCACTAAAACATTCACCGCTGCCCCAGCTATCATAAACCGGCCTACCAATAGTCTCATAATTTTGAAGCGGTTGTTGGGGTGGTCCACCGTAATAGCTGGGCACCCCACCACCCCAGCCATGATGATAACCATCCATGTACGAATAACCGAGCGCATACGCCGCCGGCGGTAAAGGCGCGGCTTCCACTGCCTTCGGTGGCGCCGCCGGAGCAGCCTCTTTTGGTTTCTCAGCTTTCTTCTCTCCAGACTCCTTAGGCTTCTCGGCCTCTTTCGGCTTCTCCGTTTTCTTCTCGGCCTCTTTCGGCTTCTCCGGTTTCTTCTCGGCCTCTTTCGGCTTCTCCGGTTTCTTCTCGGCTTCCTTAGGCTTCTCGGGTTTCTTCTCAGCCTCTTTCGACTTCTCGGGTTTCTTCTCAGCCTCTTTCGGCTTCTCCGGTTGCTTGGGCTTCGCCGGCGGCTTGATCTCAATGCTCTTGATGGATCCGCCACCTTTGTAGCATATCTTGTCCCTGATCTTCTCCGGGCTACAGCATGTCACAGTGATGGTCACTGTGTTGGCCTTTTCATCGTAAATTTGGTCTCGTATTTCTCTTGTTCATAACAAATCATAAAACAAAAACAACTCAAACACCATTTCGTTCCATCTTCAGCTCAGCGATCAATCAACTAACCAGAACTAACTGCAAACAAAAAGATAATATAGAAAAATCAACAAGAAGAAACTCACGAGGGAATTTACAGAGAACTTTCTTGACCTTCTTGTAGCATTTAAAGCACTGAAGGTCCACCTTCAGCACCATTATCGTCACCTACAAATCTTACCCCGTGTCAGAATGCATGATGATAGATCAAGCATTAGCAAAAAAAAAAAAACAATAAATCAAACGAAAAGAAAGGGCATTAGCAGTAAGAACAGCATAAGAAAAGGAGAGAGGATTTTGGAAACCTTCTCTGCCATAGCTTGGATGGATCCCTCGATGATCTGATCTTGAAAACGAAAGTAGTCAAGCAACCGACAGGCTAAGTTGAGTTTATATATATAATAAATTTAGGTTGTGTTTTTAACATGTAGGGTTAAACTTAAAAGCCACGTGGAGGGTAGTGATTGGAAGAGGATATTAAGATTGTCTTTATTATGATCCGAGCACGGTCGAATGCAGCTTTCGCGCATCATCTGGCGTCGTTGAGTACTTCTCACCTTCCGGTTAAATACACAGGTATAGAAAAGGTTATTTATTTCAGGCGAGTTTCCCAAGTAATGTTCACAATTATTTTTCAACCTAGTTATAAATACACAGACAGAACAGTATTTTTCAACCTAGTTAGAAATACACGGACAGAATGAAAAGGAGATCATATAGGACATAAACTACAACTCCGTTCTTGAAGCCGTGCTCACGCTTTGCTTCTTTATCAGCCTCTCGCTCTTAGCCCTCCCTGATGAGGAACCAACATGGCAACCCGAATCTGGGGTCAAAGGCTCACATGGAGACGATAAAGATTCATCAATAGAGTGGCTCTTGGTAGGGGATCCTTCTGTAGCAGCCTTATCTGGTAGAGGGGATTCTGAAGTTGGGGCTGGAGTTGCAGGGTTACTCTTGTCATATTCCAGGCCATTGTCACCCAATGCTGTAAGAGAAGCTCTACATCCAGGTGCTTCTGCAAGGACTCCACTAAGACGCTGTTGCTCCTCGATAATCTTCTTTAAATACTTTCCCTGAGCCTCTATCCGCAACTGTAGCTGTCTCTGCACCTGTTGTAGATCACAGGTATAGAAATTGCGGGCTTGATTAAACTAAACAATTATAAATACAACACCTGAAGCACCCAGTAACCGTTTCCGTAAGGAACAAATAGAAAACTACCGCATCTGAATTTTGGTGACATTCCTCAATACTATGCTACTCTTAATAATAAGGAGGATCTATTGAAATATATACTCAAACTAATAGTAAATCTGCACCAAGAGTACATGCCTCCAATTGTTCATGCAATCGCTTCTGAACCACCATCTGCAACTTTAAGCTTCCGAAATTTGATTGCCACTGCAAACAGAGAAAAGAATCCCTCAACTATCCAATTCTAGTTGATCAATCCATTTGAAAGGATCATGTTGAAACTAACAAGAACTGTCCAAATCGAAAGTCTCAACTCTCAAGCTCCACTTACTTTAACCCGTCCAAGTCGGGCAGCATATCCGCAGTTTCTTTCTTGTCTGGCATTTTACCTACGTTAACAAAAACGATAAAGAATCAATATTAAGAAGGAAAAATTTGTATACAACAACTTGGGTTCACAAAGAACTTCAGGATGTTGAAGCAGTGTAAAGAACAAATATTGATAAAAGAAACAGATAAATCTACCATCAGAAGAAGATTCAGGGAGATATTTTGCGAGTCGATATTTCTGGATGCATCAAGATAGTGGAGTCAGCAAAAGCCAGAGACAACAAAGGGGAATGTTATACGAACCAAATCACACTCTGTCGGTACAACTCCGAACCAATGCAAATGAATCAGTACAATTCTTAACTAGGTTAAAAGAATTACAAACCTGTAAATGGCTTTTGACATGGTATATTGTCAAACCCTGCACACCCATGACTCTAAGAACTCCTTTAGGTGTAGCTCCTGCGAGGCAGAAAAAATCAAACTCGTCCACCGTCGTAATCAGTTACAAGCACATACATTCAGGGTAGGAATCAATAATTAGATAGTGTTATCTTTGACGAGACTTACGATCTGGTCCACCGAGTTGAGCAACAGCGTCAACAAAACGCTCATGAAGCTGATGTGTCCACCGCAACCGTTGCTTTGATGAAAGATTAGAGTTGTTGGGGTGGTCATTCCCTCCACCTACAGCTTCCATTGTAGTAGCACCACAATATAAATGCCGACCATGAACCGATGAGTTGTTGCAGCCTAAACTTGAGCCCGGAGCAGTCTTTGATTGATACATTTGTCATTCATCTACAAACAATGGGAAGCAAAGAGACTCCTGAGGATTCAAACAAGCGTGCAGTGATTCCACAATATCGAAAAAACCAAACACATCATACATGACATTTCTACTGTCCGAACAGAAATGAAAATGAAAGGTAAGGTAAGAATGAATACAAGGGTTATTACCCCTATCGTCAACCAATCTCATACATCATACATGCTTCTTTTTCTTCTCTTGTTACTATTTAAATGCTTGGCCTGCAAATGCCCTAAAAACATAAAGGTTATACTATCTAAATAAATGTAGCCAGCCATCATACTTCTTACAATTAAAGAAATCTGTGGAAAGTCACATCCTCTAGAAATACATAGGAACCCTAGTTTCATACACAAATTCTGATGCATATCAAAGTGTATAGAATAAAACAGTGTTTAATTGAACCATACTGTATCTGTATGCATAAATACTATAACAATATGAAATGATACATAGCATGTCGTAATTCCTATTAATAGTCCATGAGGATTAATTAGGGTTATCTGTTTATATAAGGTCAAGTAAGAGCGATCGAAGAACAATTGGTCGAGCAGAGTGATAGCTGAGCTGATAAAACTGTAAAAAAACGAAAAAGAAATAGAACATACCATAACAGAAGATGCAGATCTATTGTTAGTGTTTTTTATAAGACAAAAACAAAAAGGAAACAAAAAAGAGACTCCTTTTATGAATATTTGGAGACTAAAATCAAAGAGAATGAAGAAAGAGCTTAACGACAATCAGAAAGGAAGCAGAAATCACAGCCACAGCCCATCACCACCACAGCCACGAGTTTTGGCTTTCGTTTTCTCCCCATAAAATATTAATATAAACTATTGGTAACATTTTGTTGTCACTCCATGTATTATATGCATGTTCCAATTGTAGTTATTATGTTTTAATTTCATTAAATTTATTCTATATTTTTTATAATTTAAAATTTTAATCTCAACTTAAAAATCGTATGATAATATGATTAATTTATGAAAATTTAAAATAATTATTCATATCAAGGGTCGAGAAATTTTTTTTTTAATATCAATAATAGGTATTAATGAACAATAAATAGTTCTTTCGTTCATTGTCTAAAGGGAGTTTATGACTTAATGTTATATTTTTATATTGTGTATGAAATTTATAAGTTTTAGGATAAAGTGCACGAATAATCCTAGGCTATTGTTTTGTTGAGTCTTCGTACTATTAAATGTTATAAAATGATTTATCGACTATAAGATATTATTTTGTTAAGTCTTTTGACAATTAAAAATTATAACATGGTCATCCAATTATTCATGTGTCAAACTTATCTTTTTCTGTTAAAAGATCGATGATAATTTGAGATGAATCCATTGACTGTGATATGATTAAATATTATCCTAAAATCTCAAACGACTATCGTATTATAGTCAACAAGTTAACGTCGAACATAGACTACCATTAATTTTTTAAGAAAAATGATGAGTTTATAATATATAAATAATCGAATATCATTTTAATTGAGGATTCAACAAAGTAATGTCCTATAGGTAATGAATCATTTTATAATTTTTAATAATTGAGAGACTCATCAAAATAATATCTTATAATTGGAGACCATTTATGTATTTTTTTTCTAATTTTCATTAACGTAAATCTTGAAATTAAAATCGAGAAAAATATTTTAAAACCACATTAATATTTTAAATTAAATGTAATTTATTTATTATTTGATTAAATTAATTTGAAAAATGTAAAAAACATTTTAGGTTTAATGTAAAAGTAAGTGTAATTTTTTTTAGGTTTAATGTAAAAATAAGTGTTCAATGCACGAACCAAAGTGATTTCAGTGGTAAAGGAATTGTTGTTCTTCCTTGAGGACCTAGTTTTGAGCACCATAAATGTCAGGGTGATTAATATTGAAAGGTTGAGACTTATCTTTAAACGGATATTATCATGTACTTGCCCCAAATTATTCACAAAAAAAAATGTCCAATGTATACTTAAAGTTAATTTTAAGTGCATAATTTTTTTTTTTGTTAAAAATAAGTGTTTAAAGTTTTATCAATCATATTTTTAAGTGCTTAACATTTCTAATATTATATTTTTAGGTTCCTAGACTATAACGTCCATTAAATGACATGTGTCAGATATATAAATTTTATTTAAAAAAAAGTTAAAATTAAATCTTACTTTTAAAAAAGTTTAATATTTTATGAAATTAGAAAAAAATCTAAAATCACGAAAAATCCTAAATTCAATTCTTTAGTACCGTTGACCGCCACCAACGCAGTTAAATCGGTCGAGTAGCCAATTCTTTTCAACCGACCAACCATCAAATGATCGAAACCCCTTATTTTCATGATCGACCGAACTTCTAATAGTCATGTAAATACAAGATTTTGTGTAACACCCTATATCGCACCGTTACAAACATATACAAATTCAAACCACCTGTTAGAATCTTACTAATATAGGCACACAATAGAAAATAATTTCAAAAAAATTATTCTGATGTTCATTCGATACTAATTCCATGTCACAACATAATTGTTGACCATAACACTTTAAATTGACAATTCAAGTCCTTTTTTTATCTAAATTCATCAAACTGCACGTAACATTTTCAACTTTGCATTTTTAACCACAAATTATGAATTCTTTTAGAATTCATCTGAACTTTTCTGTTTCATTCGAAATGGTCTTTTACTCTTTGCTCAATTCAAATTCAATACTGAAAATTCCAACATCGAATCAACATAATCAATCTAGTACATTTACAATTGCATAATTACCTTTAAACCCTCCAAACTTTCCAAACTACTCACCAAACTTACCAACTTTCCAATATGATCCAATTTCACATTCTAAAATCAATTTCAACACTCTAACATTAATTTCCAGCATATTACATCAACTATTGAACCATTACACACAGATCCCATAATTTTCCATAATTGTCGAATATGTCCCCCAACTTTCATAAACTTACAAAATAGTCCCCAAAATTTTCTAAGGCTTGTAGAATTCTTCCTACATCATTTCCAGCCGCTACATAA